AACGGACTAGCTAAGAGCTCGATGTCTCAACGGACTAGCTAAGAGCTAAATGTCTCCACAACCTAGCTAAAAGCTAAATGTTTCCACAGGCTAGCTAAGAGCCAAATGTCCCAACGGGCTAGCTAAGAGCTCAATGTCTCAACGGGCTAGCAAAGAGCTGAACGTCACAACGGACTAGCTATGAGCTGAACGTCACAACGGGCTAGCTATGAGCTGAACGTCTCAACGGGCTAGCTAAGCGCTAAAGGAAATGGCTAGCTAAAAGCCTAATATAGGCTAGCTAGAAGCTCATGGCTAGCTAAAGTATCTAAAGTGTAGCTAAAAGCTAAACATTAAAAGACTAGCTAATGGCTGAAGGCATCAAAGGGATAACTAAAAGGTAAATGTATCATAAGCTAGCAAAAGGTAAGCTAAAATTTATAAAAATTATAATAGCTCAAAGTTTATGTGGTTATCTCCTGAATGCTTTTTAATATGAACGGCTAAAATTGTTTAAATTATGTAAAACAAGCTGGACTGTAAAAAAATGGAGAAAAATATAAACGGGAAAATGTGAACGTTCACACAGCTAAAGCTCCAGCTAAAGCTCCAGCTGAATAAAGTTTGTTTTTGTCGTTGCAGCTGGTCATTGATTGGTTGGAGAGCATCGCCAAGGACCAGATCAGAGATTTTTCTGATAATATCGAATATTACGCCAAAAACGTCTGCTGGTGAGTTCTCATTGGTGCAACATCAAAGAGCGAGGGGTGTGTTCTGAGCGATCCGTTCTGGTTTAGGGAGAACACTCTGCACGCGCTGAAGATGAGGAGGAAGAGTGGCGCCACCTTGACTGTTCCTCTGGTCACTGAGCTGGTGAGGCTCCTTTCAGCAGCAACAATCTGTTTAACCTGCTCCCGTCACTAAATCAAACCGTAAACTGCGTTTGTGCTCAGGACCCGGACGCTCCTCTCCGGCAGCAGCGCCCCCTGGCGGACCTGGACAGGGAGGACGACGCGCGGCTGCTGAAGAACCTGTTCACCCTGATCCGAGCGGGGATGACCGACGAGGTACACGAAGAATTAAACCTTGAGCAGGCGTGAAAGCATCCAACAAACGGTTCATGTCGTTAAAGAGCCAGAAACTCTAAAAGGAGGGTGGTAGAAAAATAAACTGAGCTGGGTCTCCTTTATCCTCCTGTCCAACTTCAACCTGATGTTTGTGTTTAAAGGCTCAGAGGTTGTGCAAACGCTGCGGTCAGGCCTGGAGAGCAGCGACTCTGGAAGGCTGGAAACTGTACCACGACCCCAACACGACCTCAGGTAACCTCTGACCGCAGCTCGGGGCTCTCCAGTTAACACTTTTTAGGATTTAAGAGCCCGAGTTAAAGTTTTTCTTTTTATTGTATCCTGATTTTGACAGGAACACGAGAAGTTATTAAAAAGTGAGAGTTTAATGGAGTAAAAAAGGTTTATGATGCTCAAACCTCTTTGGGTAGAATTTATTATTAATATTATTTTTCAGATTTCAGTTCATTTAGTCATTTAATAAAATTTATTTTTGTATTTGATCATTTATCACAATATGGTTTGAAGCTGTTGAATTTTAGATTTGGTATTTTCCCCGCTGCGCAGAATCGGTCACATATGCGTTACATGCTACTTTAAGCTTTTAGCCACCAATCTGCTACTTTAAGCTTTTAG